AAGACATCGAGAAAATGGGGGATCTAGAATTCAAAACACTTGCTATGAAGCTTCTTATTAACAAGAAGAAGCACGTCATGCAGGCATCCAAGGAATTTAAGGAATATGGCACACTGGAAATGAACCAAATGAAAGTTGATATATCAGAAATGAAGAATACAGTGGAGCAAATTAAAAGTAGAGTGGAGGGTCTCCAAAATACAATAAAGCAAGCAGAAGAAAGAATCTCAGATTTAGAAATTGTCACCCAGGATAATATACCCAGCAAAACTTTGCTTTGTCTTTAAACATGAAATAAAATTCTTCCATAGTAAAGGAAAGTTAAAATATGCCTCTTTCCAAATCTGCCCTACAAATGATACCTAAAGGTGTTCTCTTCACAGAGAAAAGGAGAAGGGCCACACAAAAATCAAAGGCAAATGCAAAGAACATCCCCGTAAAGTAAAAACAAGAGTGCCTGGTGCTGTAGCCTAGCAGCTAAGGTCCTTGCCTTGAAGGCATCAGGATCACACGTAGGTGCCGCTTCTAATCGCAGCAGTCCTACTTCCTATTCAGCTCCCTGCTTGTGGCCTAGGAAAGCAGTCGAGGATGGCACAAAGGCTTAGGACCCTGCAGTCACGTGGGAGAACTGGAACAGGATCTAGGCAACTGGCTTTGGATTGGCACAGCACTGGACACTGATGTCACTTGGGGAGTGAATCATCAGATGGAAGATATTTGTCTCTCCTCCTCGCTGTATATATCTGATTTTGCAATAAAAATAAAAAAAAATTTTAAACAATGCAAAAACAGAAGTAACAACAGAAGATCAATGAGCCATTGCTAAACTGACAGGACCAAATTACCACCCATTAATATCAACCCTGACTTTTTTGGTTAGTTTTATCCTTTCAACACACTTTCTTTGATTAAATTCAACGACTCATAGATCATACAGTAACATCATTTTCTTTAAGTTAAGTTCTTGAATTTCATTTCTTCAGCGATACATTAGTCATTCAGTAGCATGTTATTTAACTTTATGGTGTTGCTAATTTCTTTTTTTCCCTCCTGTTGTTGATTTTGTTTTGTGGCTTTTCATTTAAGGGGATGTATAGTAACTGTGTAATAGACTGTCATATCCAGATGTGAGGATGCAGTTTGGTACGCATCTCTGTTTCCAGACAAAGATGCACTCCCAATGAAACTGTTTACTATATCTTGACAATAGGATGCTGGACTCTCTGCCATTGTCCATGCCCACAATAATGAACATATGAATGTGTAGGGAGAACTACGCTATAGTAATGACATAGAGGGGCAGGAAATTGGGGAGGGAATAAGGGAAATCCCAGGGCCTAAGGAGCTGTATCATAAAATGATAGTAATAAAAAGAAATAAAAAAAAAAGGATAGAGAAGTTGCAATTCTAAGATCCATCAAAGAAAAGCTCCCTTTTGTAATATGGATATGCACAGGAAATGGCATGATTGCTTTAGATTTTTCAACTTGAGTAAAATTAGTGAAGCAGTTTTTCGGAAATCACTAGCACTAGGTGAGCCGATTTAAAAAATTACGGAAATGTGATCATTGAAAGAAATAATAAATCCTTAAAAAAAAGAATTTACTTAGTTTTATTCGATATTCAGATATACAGAGAGGAGGAGAAACAGAGCTGATTCCTTATCCAAGCAGCCATAGTGGCTAGAGTTGATCTGATCCAAAACCAGGGGCCAGGAGTTTCTTCTGGTTTCCGACATGCATGCAGGGTCCCAAAGCCTAGGGTCCCTGCACGCACACGGCACAACAGATGGAGTTACAGGCTCCTGACTTTCACTCGGTCCAGGCCTGGCTACTGTGGCCATCATGGCGAATGAACCAGAATATTAAAGATCTCTATTTCTCACTTTCTCCTTAACTATTTTTAAAATTCATTTTTATTGCAAAGTCAGATATATAGAGAGGAGGAGAGACAGAGAGGAAGATCTTCCATTCATTGATTTACTCCCCAAGTGACTGCAACAACAGGAGCTGCACTGATCCAAAGCCAGTACCCAGGAGCTCTTCCAGGTCTCCCACGCTGCTTTGGGCCATCCTTGACTGCTTTCCAAGGCTACAAGCAGAGAGCTGGATGGGAAGCAGGGCCGCTGGGATTAGAACTGGCACCCATATGAGATCGTGATGCGTTCAAGGTGAGGACTTTAGCTGCTAGGCCATGGGACCGGGCCCTCTCTTTAACTTTTAAAATAAATAAATAAACCTTAACAAAATAAACAAATGAACAAAACAATAACTACCTTTAGGTATTGCTGCAAGGATTAAATGACTAATTGTCCAGAAAATATTTATAAGAGTTTCTAGTTAAAGTAAACACCACTGTAGTATTGAGCATTAATATAAATCATGGTGTGCCTTCTGTATAAAAGATATATACACACTATACACTTCATTATATTCCAGAAGTTATGGACTTCAAAAATCATGGGCCCGGCACAGTGGCGCAGTGGTTAAAGTCCTCGCCTTGCACGCCCGGGATCCCATATGGGCTCCGGTTCTAATCCCGGCAGCCCTGCTTCCCTTCCAGCTCCCTGCCTGTGACCTGGGAAAGCAGTCGAGGACGGCCCAAAGCTTTGGGACCCTGCACCCATGTGGGAGACCTGGAAGAGGCTCCTGGCTTCGGATCGGCATAGTATGGGCCGTTGCGCTCACTTGGGGAGTGAATCATTGGATGGAAGATCTTCCTCTCTGTCTCTCCTCTCTGTATATCCGCCTTTCCAATAAAAAAAAATAATAAAAATAAATCTTTAAAAAAATAATTAAAAAAAATCATAGGTGATAGGGAGAAATAAATTCACAAAGACTAGGTAAAAATCACTGACACAACAATTGTTAGATTTTCTTTTACAATAATTATATTCAGATATTTTTATAGAAAGTTCCCTACCCCCATACTGATGGCATAGTGATAGTATATCATATGATACTTAGAATAAGGAATTGATCACTTAGTTGTAGAGGAGGTATAAACACAGTGTGTGAAATGGTATGACTAGCAATTCATAACACAGACACAACATGGATTTTATATCACACGATCTATGTGTGCTCCCAGTCTGGGAGTGCCACGTAGGCAAGGATTTGCAACTTATGGAGGGCTGCAGTGGGAAAGAGCATTACGTCAACTGGTTATGAAATTTGAGGATCACTAGGGAAAGAGGAACAAATTAGAGAATTTCAAAACATGGCAGAGTTTAACAGCTTTGGCAGGCAGAAGAAAATCACTGAAATTGCTTGACAAATGGGACTAAAAATCAGTTCAATCTGTTACACAAAATGAACTGCCAAAGAGTTGAGAGGGGAGCTTGGAAGTAGTTACGATGTGTTAAGGCAAGAAGAAACAGGTAGCAAATCAAGACAAACAAGACAAAGGGAAGACACAAAATTTTCAAATATAGTAGAAATTCTAGATTGATTTCCAAAAGAATTTTCTGTTATCTCACTACTAGAAAGATTCCAACATTCTCAGTTATGTCCTGAAACAGCTCATGCACCTTTAAGGAGAAACTAACTCCACACTCGGGTTCAAGGTTAGCAAGATGGCACAGAAATAACCTTTTAAGCCTTAGGGACTGGTTCAGAAATAAGGAGGTACCCGACTCCTGAGCTTCTAAGAAGCCAGTGAGGAGACAAATGCGTTGAGAACTATGGGGGACATTTTTCTTCTACATGCTGTCTTCTGAAAACAACCTTTCTTCTTTTCTGCTGGATGGGATCCTAGCGGCATGTTTCTCTGGCTGCAGCTGGCAGGTAGTCTATGAGTCGCAGAGGCCATGGACACCAAGACTGAGTGACAAAAAGAAACTGGCTAGCCAACGACATTGTGGAGCAGCTTCATGAGTAACCCTAGCAGAGTTCAGTTATGCGAACCAAAAATTTCCTTCCAGTTCAGTGTGAGGGAGAATTTCTGTTATTCAAACTGAAGGCATGATAAAAAAATAATCCTTGCACTTCATGCTTGGACATGAACAGAAAAAAAAAACAAACCACAAAACCTTGTTGGTGACAGAAGCAAGGAAGCTGTGATGGAATTTATTTGCAAAGTTGAGAAATTCAGTTTTGGACAATGTAAAGCCAAGCTCATAATGCAACTTGTAGCCTAAAGCATGTCTAAAAAACAAATGTTCTTATTCTGCAGCAGAGAAAATGTCTTATTTACCTTACAGAATTAGGGTCAAAGGCAGCAAACAGAACAATTCTGGTTAAACTTTTCTTTGCCCAAGTCAGACTAAATTTTCCACAGGACCCTGGGTGACTTGACTTAATTCCATCAGTTCTGGGTCCTTATCAGCTGGTATCACTGAAACTGTCTGTTTCATCTTTCTGGTTTCTTCCCAAGGTGCTTATGCAACAAAAAACTGATATCTCCATTTATTTCCTGGAAATCTTGATTTTCTGGCTTCACAAGTGAAATGCTCCATCAACAAAAGAATATATTCTTTGATCATCAATCTGAGAATCTAACACAAGACTATCTTCATTCTGGCTGAACTCAGATAAATCTGTTGCTGAAACAATTCCAAATATTGGGCAGAATGAAGCTTGAAAGAAGTAATCTTGCACAGTAGTTCTGAACATAGGAAAAACTGCTTACGTAAAAATACACTTTTGAATCCAGTGAAAACATAACATTAGATTGTATCTATTATTTTGGTCTAGTTGGTGTATTTAAATAACTACTTTAGAAAATACTTGAAAAGTTCAGTAATAACCTACTTTTCCAATTTTAACTATCTTACAGCTGAAAAAATATTTTAAATAATGTGTTTACAAAGATGCTGGAATTTATACTTTGTGAACACTAGTCATGATAAATTAAGATAAAATCACCAAAACATTATTTGTTATTAAATTATGGACTTCTAGTAGATCATCTCCTTTTAGTATAGAGAGAATTTTGTTTAATCATAAATGCTTTGCAAAATATTCATTTTATGTCACAGTTGCTGAGATTTTTTTTTTTACCTGATGTTCCAGTTTCATGATTTTTTTCTTCAGTTTTTCCATTTGACTTGAAAGCTCTTTTTTCATCTACCTCATCATCCCCCCACCATGATGGCTGCCCATATAATGGAGTACCTCGAGGCACAGCAGAAGTATCTGGAAAGAGGTAGGGGAAAAATCCATCTAAAGCAGATGAAGCAAGAAAAAAAAGGAGAGGGGCACGCTCAGAAAATAACAGGATTGTCTGCCTGAGTACATAGGAAAAGCAAAGTACAGTCTAGATATCTTAAAACTACTCTATGATGATGAGTAACTTAGTATTTGTAAAACCTTATACAAGGTTGACATGGATAAATAAGTGAAAATTTGCATTAATCAGATATTTAAGTAATACAACTCACCGTATGTCAGCAGCGTTTTGCAAAAGAGTTCTGAGTCCTTCAGTGTACAAGCCAACCACTTGAAACAAGTGGCCTTTGACTGCAGTATTTGAACAGGCAGTGGCCTTAGAACAAATTTGCTAAAACCAAGTAATAATCAACCAAAGAAGAATGAAACCAGCATGAACAGAAAGGACTCATTAAGGCTAAACCAAATAAATTTTGGCACAAGTAACCATTTTTTAGATTCTGTTTTAAATCTAAGTATTGTAGCTACACATAAAGCGGATGGAAACAAACAGACTTTTATTTGGGCAAATGTGATAATGTCTACCAATTTAAAAATGTGTCAGGCTGAAAAAGATTTTTAATGTAACTCTGATAGCTCTAAGAATGATAAATTCTATGATGATTTAGCATTTTTACATTTAGAATTTTTTTCATTTTAATTCATTTGCTATTAATCCAAAAGAATATGTGCACAAATAACCAAAATTTCATGAGGTTAAAAACAAATGACTTATTTCCATCAAATACTTGAACATTAAGTAGGACAACCATAACTACCCTATACATATAAAACTAATGTTCTTTCTAAAGAAAGCATTGTCTGTACTGCAATGTATCTGAAATTTTTATTGTATAACTTTTCTATTTGGACTTGGCCATATTTTCAGGAACAAAGTCTGCATACACTTCAAACTTCGGCATAAATGTGGTATTTTCGAAGAGGTCAGCTCACCAGCAGCCTTTTCCTCAGACTTCAGGGCTTCTGTAGCTTTGTGCTGCACTTCCGTGGCAGAATCTGCTGCCTTTGAATCTGTGCTTTTGGCACTTGCAGATTTTGATAATTCAGATTCTGAAGACTTTTGGGACAACTGAAGCTGGATGGTAAACTTCTCATGCTATAGAACATTTCAAAACGAAAAGTGAAATATCCATGAGAGAAATTCACTTTAATTAATGTTAGGTGTCCATAAGAGATCAAAACTTTTACCTTAAGAGCTTCTTCTGGGACCCTCATTTCTCCTCGTACAACAGTAAAAAGATTTGTATGTAAAACAGGGATAAGGAAGATATAACTTTAAAATTCTGGTAACCAAACTTGAAGTGGTTATCTTACTTAATTGATAAAATTATCCTAAAGCAACAATTACAGAAATATCATATTTCCCTTAACAGCTAAATGTTAAAATGGGCTCACAATTGTAAAACACTTTAAATACCCAAAACCTTATAGACCACTAAATATTTTTTATTTCTTCATTGTCTCAAAAAATTTTTTTTCAGAGATAGAAAGCAGAGAAAGCCCAGGGAGCTCCAGCCAGTGCCCGGCTGTCCCGAGGCCTGTGGGAGCCAGGGCCTGGCCGGGCTGAAGTGGGAACTGGGAGTCGACAGCCGGGGGCAGGAACTCACTCAGATCTCCTACCTACTGGAACCATCACCTGCTTACTCCCAAGATGGATCTTAACAAGAAACTCAAATAAGAAGCACAGTCAGGACTTGAACCCAGACACTTTGGCATGCTGACCCATAGGATAAACAACTGCCCACACCATGTATTTCTACCATAAAGCAATAGCGGCATTCAAGATGCAAACAGCAAGGGATAATCAGAGCACAAGGACCTTTTCAGTCTTCACCAGCAACAGTAAGACATGACAGCCCTGAAGAAAAAGCACCTGCATCGTATTATTTTACTAAACAATCATAAAAATGTAAAAGGAAATACCTCATCAGTGATTTCCCATAATCACATACACTGATAATCACAAACACTGATAAAAATAAAGTTCATTTTTCAAAAGCAAAAAAAAAAAAAATTAGGGCCCTTACAGTAGTCACAACCACCCATTTTATCCATGAATTGCAAAAGGGTCATATTACATTATCAAACAACTGATTCTATACAGATGAGAACCAAGTGCTAGATATAATGGAATGCTTTCATTATTATGCCAAGGAAACAATACCCCTGTATATTAAAATGATGTATTCACTAAAGAGGTCACATTTCCCACCATTACTTAACAGGATTATGAAAGGACTTTTATAATCATGTACTAAATTCTATTCTGCTTTACCAATTCACAGCACTCATGACTTAAAGGGTAGAAAGCTGTAATTATCATGACTGTTGGAGGGAAAGATTTTACTAGCAAAGGGAAGCACTAAACTTGCCAAAAGGCATTTTGTCTACATTCCTAATTGTTAAAATGATGGACTCACAATTTTTGAGAATTGTATAGAGTGCGGTGCAATTTGTTCGTTAATTCCATTATTTGTCCTGTTCTAGCGGAGAGAAGGCATCATTGTTATCTTGCCTTTCAAATAAATAGAAGCATAACCAGTAACTGTCTCAAATGATTTTTTTTCTAATTTTTTAAAGAGAATAACTTTTTAAAAAAGGCTTATTTATTTTATTGAAAAGGCAGGTTTACAGAGAGAAGGAGAGGCAGAAAGAGAGATCTTCCATCTTCTGGCTCAATCCCCAAGTGGCCACAATAGCAGGACCTGAATCGATCTGAAGCTAGGAGCCAGGAGATTCTTCTCGGTCTCCCAAGAGGGTGCAGAGTTCCAAGAATTTGGGTCATCCTTCATTGCTTTTCCAGGCCATAAGCAGAGACCTGGATGGGAAGTGAAACATCTGGGACACAAACCAGAGACCCTATGGGATCCCAGCATATACAAGGTGAGGATTTAGCCACTGAGCCATCATGCTGCACAGAGCTTAAAGTCTGTTCCCCAGGGTTAGTCTATTCACTACTTACACACTTTCAAATTCTGAGTAATTTGAAAGGGGTAATCCTTCTTAGGTAAAAACACTTTATTTTCAGGATGGTTGCTGTGTTTGGAAATGAAGATTTCAAGAATCCTCCTGTTCCAGTCAAGCATCTACTTGTGGACCCGATGTAACTCTGACACTTGGACTCTGCTCTACCCCAGCTCTTATCTCCAAAGATGCCAACCTGTCAGCGGATGCCAGGGAGCTCACTGCTTTTAACTTGGTAGTCAAGAAAAATGAAAACTAAGGTACAACTATTCATCACGGCAACACTAAAAAAGTTAAAATTTTTGCTGACTAAAAACTCCATAGTCTATTTCCTCTTTTTTTTTTTTTAAATTTCAAGACATGGACTACTATTCCTAGTCATCTCTATATTAAATTTGTTAAAGAAAACGTTTGTCTAAAATTAGGATCAGGAAAGTGCTCCTGCACTCTGTTAACATGCTCTTGGAAGCCTCTTTATTGTAATGACAATTAAAGTGAAAAACAGAAAAATTTTCAACAGTTCCATTATTCCCAGGGATGTGGCCTTAAAAAGGAAATGACAGATATCATTGTGAATGCAGTGTCAAAAGCGGTTTTAAAATTAAAAAGTGGTTGCATTTAGAGGAACCTGGGACCTTTTTCTGCCAAGAATTGTAACACCATTTGTGGATGATGCATTATTGACTTAAAAACTACCTTATGTTAGATTTATTGTATTTCAATCCCTGATTGCTATTGCTTTGGCAAGGCCAGACCAAACAATTTTGTAGACTCCATACAGTCTACAGGCCAGGTGTGATATCATCACAATAAATGGTAATGTTCAAAAATTTTTCCTAATATTACCTATTGAATTTTTTATTGGTTGGAATAAAAATTTCCAAAAATACTATACCGTCAAAAGATTTAGAAGTGAAAACCTGTGATTAAATTATGATGCTTATGATATTGCAATTTCAGTGTGATGTGAAAACTTTAATTAAAATTTAATACAAGAAAATGCATTTTCTGAGACTGGTATGTCATATACTATACATATACATTCAATACATATTAAAAGTTATCCTTAGAAATTCTTAAGATTATCCAAAATCCTCTTCCTTTTAGATTTCCTCCTATTAAATTGGAAAATTTCTCTTATTTAATTATAATTGATAATAACATATAATAGACTGAACTATATCACATATAATAAACAAGGCATGTCTTAGAAGATGCTGAACGCTAAGGAAGGCAATGGCAGAAAAATTTCCAAGGAGAAAGTTCATGTTGTTGCTTAATTTTTCCTATAATTTCACAGAATTATATTATTTCAGTTTAGCAAGTGAATACTTTCCAACTTGTAGAATATCCTTCAACTAACTGATTTTGGTTACTTTCTGTCATTTCATTCTTTGATCCAACACTTGATCTCTATTAATTTCTTTAATTTTGTCCTTTTAAATTTTGAGAAAAAAATCTACCTTTATGAAATTTGGAAAGGGCATTCATGTTTTGTAATGGATATCGGCCACACTAGTCAGAAAAAAAAAATCTTACTGCGTGAATGAAAAACCCTGAATTTCCTGAATGTGCATCTATTTTGAGACACACACACACACACGCACACGCACACAGGGTTCCTTCCCCGAAAGCCTGTAACAGTCTCAGGACCTGGCAACGCTGAAGCTAGGAGCCAGGATGCTATCAAGGGCTCCCAGGTAGGTGGAAAGAACCGAAGTACTGGAGCCATTATCAGCTGCTTCCCAGGATGTGCATCAGCAGGAACTCAGACTGGAGGCAGACACAGGATTTGACCCCAGAGTTTCTTTCTTTCTTTTTTTTTTTTAAAGATTTATTTATTTTTAATGGAAAGTCAGATATACAGAGAGGAGGAGAGACAAAGAGGAAGATCTTCCGTCTGATGATTCACTCCCCAAGTGAGCGCCACAGCTGGTGCTATGCTGATCCGAAGCCAGGAACCAGGAACCTCTTCTGGGTTTCCCACGCAGGTGCAGGGTCCCAAAGCTTTGAGCCGTCCTCAACTGCTTTCCCAGGGCACAAGCAGGAAGCTAGATGGGAATTGGAGCTGCCAGGATTAGAACTGGCATCCATATGGGATCCTGGCTCATTCAAGGTGAGGACTTTAGCCACTACGCCACACCGCCGGGCCTGACTCCAGGGTTTCTATATGTGTTACTGACATCCCAAGTGATGGTTTAATCCACTGCATCATAGGTCTGCTTCAATGGTTAATTTTAATTATGCTTATCTCCCCCTGAGTCATTTTATAACTATAATCTGGACTTTCAGCAAACAATGCAACCTGTTGTATCTTAAGTATAAATTAATCATTGGGGGCTGGCCCGAGAGTTCAACTAATCCTTTACCTGCAACTGCCAGCATCCCATATGGGTGCTAGTTTGTGTCATGGCTGCTTCAGTTGCCCATCCAGATCCTTGCTTATGGCCTGGGAAAACATCAGAGGATGACCCAAAGCCTTGGGATCCTGTACCCTCGTGGGAGACCCGGAAGAAGTTCCTGGCTCTTGGTTTCAGATCGGCTCAGCTCCAGCAATTGCGGTCGCTTGGAGAGTGAACCAGCAGATGGATGATCTTTCTGCCTCTCCTTTTCTCTGTAAATTGACTTTCTTATAAAAAATGTTAAAAAAAAATTCTAGATAAAGTGAGTGAAAAAAGATTATTCATGATTTTAGATGTCATGCCAATATTGTTTTTCCAATGTATTTTGTAGGTTATGTACTTACATATTTCTCTGGAGAGAAAGATAGGATTCCAATTTTAAAGAAGGTACTGGATTCTATACCTATAATAACTTGTGTGATTGGGACTCTCAGGAGGGTCATTTCGAGATTTAAGATATTTAAGCAATGTTTGAATATTTAACACCAAAAGAGGAAACCAAACTAAACTGATTTTTCTCCTAGCTCATTAATGGTTTCTTCCTAGCATCTCCATATCTCATGCACCTCTTAACCTTAGAATATAGCAATTTTGGATCCTTGAACCTCTTATCAATCTATATCCACTACCTTAGTGATCTCATTTCATTGTCAAGATTTTACATACTATTTACACAATGGTAACTCCCCAATTTTTGTTTTTAGCCAATGTTTCTCTCTGAATTCAACCCACATATCCAAGATGTCTGAAATCAACTTCTCAGACTTTTGCTTCTGGACAAAATGAGGTAACAGAATTAAGAGTAATTCTACCTGAATCAACCAAAATCAAAATATGAGTAAAGTATATTAAGCAATATTTTCCAAAAAAATTAACACCAAGTAACCAAGAATAGTCCCTAATAGCAGAGAAATCAATCAAGATAAGCCCAATCACTGCCTCAGCTCACCATCTTGAGTTTCTGGGTGGTTGGTAAATGTGATAAACTTTAAAATATTACATTTGCTTATTTGAAAGTTTGAGCAGAGAGAGCAAGACAGGTGGTAGGTAGGAGGGACACACCTATCCGTCCTTCACTTCTTAAACACTTGTGAAGTCAAAGGCCAAAGGCAGGGCTGCCCTTATGCAGCGTCCCAAGTATTCAAGCCATGACCTGCTGCTTCCAAGGGGGTGCATGAGCAGAAAGCAGGAATCAGAAGTGCAGCCGGTACTCAACCCCAGGAGCGCTGATACAGGATGCAGATGTCCCACTGCTGTCTTACCTACCAGGCCCTAGGTTTGTGCTTTAGAAATCTATGTAAATTTACAGTTTTTTCATGTTTCACAGATTTTAGGGAATAAGTTTTTACTTTGAGCAGAAACAATATGTGGAACTACATTTTCTCAGAGTAACCAGTGCCCATTTTAACCATCAACATGCTTAATATGTTATTTGTTATTAGACTCCCAATTTTTTTTTTTTTTTGCTTTGGAAAGTTTTTATTTCACTTTCATTTATAAATCAGAACTTCGCTGGGTATATATTATTCTGTGTTGATGGTTTATACCTTTTGAACTTAGACTATATCTTCTTTTTTGCCTTCTTAAAAATTTTTAATTTTTTAATTTCATGACACGATTCCATAGGCTCTGATTTTCCCTTATCTCCTCCCCAAATCCTTCCCCTCCTGATTCCCCCTACATTATTACAATAGTATAAGGACTCCTATTTTTAATAAAAGAAACTTAAATGCATACTAAAAGTACAATGTGCTCAATAGCGAACAGCCTTAGAAAACAGAGTATAAGAAAAAGTTTTAAACAGGCAATGTAAATGCAATAAGTAAAACATAAGGGAAGGAATAGAAGAAAAGTTGGCTTTAAATTCTCACATTTCTCCCAGGAAGTTGATTTGTACTGACAATAATCCCTGGGCTGCATTCGTGATACCTAAATCATATAAGCAACAGCACTGAAGAGAGTCTATTAGTGAAACGAAACAAAGGAGGCAGTTAGGGTAACTTAGAGAAAATTGAGTAATCAACTTTTTCAGGATTATTTTTAGGAACAGGCATAACAACAGCAACAACAACAAACACAACATTTCAAAGCACAAAATACTTTACTCTGGGGAGACAACCAAAAATCAGCTTTCTGGCATACCCATAACTATGAATTCTCTCATCTTAAGAAATGTTCTTCTATATCAAATATTCTTAATAAATTCAATAAATGTGCAGTCATATAAGGATATCATATCCAAATCTCAGCTTATCTTCAAGTTTCAAAGTAATATAAGTCTGTTCTGGAATCCTTACATCATTCACAAAAGTCTGTAAGGAAAAAAGAAAACATGTTACTACATATGCAGTATAATTTCTCACATTTCAAACACATAAGATTTCAAATTTCCTATTTAAAAGCACATACATAGTGATTACCACATCTTGCAAATGAAAAGATGTGCCATGCATCCTACAGGTTAATAAATTATTTCAAATCACACCCTTATGTCACTATCACTGAAAAGACAAAAAAAAAAAAAAAAAAGAAAAGATAAAAGAAAAACCTGGTGCACGATGAATCCATGTGTTTAGAATCATCCCTAAAGGTTAAGCCAACTACAAAAGCTACTGCTCTTGAGCTGGCAAATATAAAATGTAATGTTGGGGCTGGCTCGATGGAGACCTGAAGGAGGCTCCTGGCTCCTGGCTTCGGATTGGTGTATCACCGGCTGTTGAGGTCACTTGGGGAGTGATTCATCAGACGGAAGATCTTCCTCTCTGTCTCTCCTCCTCTCTGTATATCTGACTTTCCATTAAAAATAAATAAATCTTTTAAAAAATACAAGAACATTCTATTATGCATTTCTCATAGGGGTCATTTTGATCCCTTCATGAATCTAAGATATTTATTCTTCCTGTTCATTGAAATTCTGTTACTTCATCACCCTGCCAATTATTTCATCTTGTTGTATCAATTATTTATAACAATGTAGAAAAAGACAAGATTAAAAAATGTTACTTACAAGAATATTATCTAACAGAAACACACTACACACAACAAATCAAGCCACATAAAATAAATGTTTAGTGAGTACATAAAGGTAACAAGAAAATGGTGAATAATTTCTATTAGTATATTTTAAATTTACCCTAAGTACTGAAATTAATTTCAGCAATAATCAATATATTCACTTTACATATATGCATATACTATCAACACCTATACTATAGATACATTTGTGTGTGTGTGTGTGTATATATATATATATGTTACTAAGTAAAATTAACACTTGTAAATTTATTCTAATGCTCAATACCTCTAAATGGAAAGCGGCTATTGCAGTACAAATTACAGACACAGAGGGATGATGCAAGAGTGACACAAAACACCATTTTATCATCCTACAGTTTTCATATTGCAAAAATCAAAATTCTATTTATCGTTCCAGGAAGATATATAAGACATATGGAGATGCTATCCCTGTATCCCTTCTCTGCACAGTTGAAAAGATATATATCAAGGGTCCAATAGACACAGACGGTAAATAGGGACGGTAATGAGTCTTTTTTGCATGGCATGCTAAGAGTTAAAGAGCCATAATTTGCTACAGAACACAGAACAAATTCTATAATAATTACTTAGAATGCATAAATCACATAAAGAACCAACAAGATTGTCTTTACTAAACTGAAACTTCGAAAGCTATTTTTAATCTTTTTTTTAACATTTTAATTACATTTGTTCAACCTTTCATTTCATTATAGCTACGACAGATTGTTCGGGAAAGCTCTCCTCTTGCTGAAAAAGTTGAGAAGGGCTGTGACTTACAAACAATAAAACAAAGTCATAAAGTGTATCATGGTATTTCATAAAGTTCCAGTCTCTAAATCTACTAAAAAAACCAAAACAAAACAAAACAAAGCAAAACAAAAACCAGTGGCTGGTTTCCTGGGGTAGTAGACTAATCTTCTGCCTGCAGTGCCAGCATCCTATCTGGGCAATGGTTGGTGTCTGGGATGCTCTAACTCTGATCCCACTCCCTGCTTATGGCCTGGGAAGGCAGTGGAGGATGGCTTGAGGTCCTGAGCCCCTGCACCCATGAGGGAGACCTGCAACAATCTCCTGATTCCTGGCTTAGGGTGGGCTCAACTCTGGCCACTGAGACCATTTGGGGAGTGAACCAGAAGGATGGAAGGTCTCTTTCTGTGTCTCTCCTTCTCACTCTGTAAAAACCTGCTTTTCCAATAAAAATAAATGAATCTTAAAAAAAAATTGTCTAACAATCTAACCACACTGTATTTACTAGAAAGGCCTAAGATGACCTATGAGGTCCTGTTAAAGTTTAAAACTGGTCAATTATGTTAGCTATTAAGCATCAACTGTGTGCTTAACAAAATATTAGGTATTTTCAGAGACAATGAGACATAATTTGCTGTCATTTCTGACAAGGATACTGGAAGATTCATAAAAGCTTAGGAAGTATGAGTCATAGAAGACTCAACTCAAAAAATTCAAGTGAAAACATGTGGGATAAAGCAAGAAAATGTGTAATAGTATTGGAGGGAAAATCACTTCAGTAAATCAAATATGAAGCATTTTAATAAATGAGATACATAAAGAAAGACTGTGTTTTGTTTGTACATCAATGCCACTGGATTAAACCTTTAAATTGTAGGTAGACCAGATGAGAAAAATGAGGTGCAGAGAATAACAAGCAAATTCTTAGAGTTCATGGCATAATACTGGGACTGAAGCTGAGATCTCCAAACTACAAACACCACATGTTCTTCAGATCAGTAAAGACTGGTTACCTAAGTCAAACCAGCTCCCCAAAGTTTCCTATCCAAACCACTTGCCCCAAAGAAGCAAATTAAACCAGATAAATACAAATTAATTTATATACAACTAGCTTATAGATTAAATTACATTATATAACTGGTTGTACAAAATCATATACTCACCATGTATTATATGCATACCCTGAGGAACTACACTGTGTGTCCATGAGTACAACCACTTCAAGTCATTTTGCCAGCCATAAAGGCCTCCTCTTCTTCTCTAACCCTTCCTTTCACATCTTCAATAAGGATAATTCTCCACCACAGGAAGGAATTCCACCATGCAAAGGGGATCCAGCACGGGCTGGAACATAAATTGCTAAGGGGACAGCCTAGTCATAAAATGCAAGATTGGAATGGAATAGGAGTGCTAACAAAGGAGTCCAAGGTGGCTATCACAGAGGATACAGCTCCAGACAGAACAGCAGGGAGGCGTTCAGGTAAAAAATCTGCCCATAATAAGAAGCTTTAACTAACTTTTAGGAAAACAGCTCAAAAACAGCAACAGCTGAACTGGTTTCAGCTTCCTCAGGCAGAATATTCCTCCTTTTTGGCGGCAATAATGTAATGTATACACCTAAGAAAAACAGAGGGATAGAGAGCAAATTCTTTCATCTGAGGGCTCACTCCCAAATCTTCACAAAGGTCTGGCCTGAGCCTGGAACCACAAGGAATAAAAAAGTCAATCTGTGTTATGTCCTCCATATGAGGGGCAAGAATCTGATCACTTCAACCATGAACACTGTCTTTCATGGGAGTGTTCATGGTTGAACACTCTTCAGGGAGGCAAAGTAAGGGACCAAAACCAGGCACTTTGATATGGGTGTAGGCATCTTACCTGATTTCCAAAGTTCCAGGCCAAATACCTGGAAGGGATCATTTTTAACCACAGCTGCAAAGTACCTCCCTTTTGTTACGGTATAATAGGTTAAGCCTTTATTTGTGACAGAAGCATGGGTTGGAGCCCAAGACCCTGCTACTCTGCATCTGATCTAACTCCCTGCTAATGTTCCTGGAAAGAAAGGAGAAGAGGGCCCCCCTGTTCTTGGACAGCAGCCACTCACATGGAACCCAGATGCAGTTTCAAGTTCCAAGCTTGAGCCTAGTCAAGAGCTGACTCTTGCAACCATTAAGTAGTGCATATTTCATCTGATTTCTTTACAACAAAAACTTTGTGTGGTCAGAGTTCCTTAAAAGACTGAGCACTATGTAATTCTTATTATTTCTAAAAGTATAATATGCAGGACACAAAAACAGTATTGCAGTCAAAATAAAAACTTTTTAAAGAAAATATTCAAAGACAAATTCTATGAAAACTAGAATAAACTATTTATATGATTTTATATACAGATATTGTTGAAAACTAGTTTGAAAATTCATACAAAAATACAGAAAAATCAAGTATCAAGCATATCATATCAACTTTCCAAAAAAACCTAATTTTCCAAAATATTATTTCCAAAATAAAAATTAATTCAAATCTACTCAACAGAGTTAATGGGTTTATTGTACTGCACAAGTATTAGCCACTTTAAATAAAATTGTAGAAAGAGAAGGTATAGGAACTATTCAAGAAATTATTATCCATAGCAAGAGAGATATAAAAGCAGATCTAATATAAAATTTGTGGAAAATGGAATGGTTTATTTGGGTGCAAAGAAATTTAAAATCTGGGCCTGGTGTGGTGGCCTAGCAGTTAAAGTTCTCGCCTTGAATGCACCGGGATCCCATATGGGTGCTGGTTCTAATCCCAGCGGCCCCACTTCCCATCCAGCTCCCTGCTTGTGGCCTGGGAAAGCAGTCGAGGACAGCCCAAAGCCTTGGGACCCTGCACCTGCTTGGGAGACCCGGAAGAGGCACCTGACTCCTGGCTTCCAGCTTTGGATCGGCACAGTACCAGCTGTTGTGGTCACTTGCAGAGTGAATCATTGGACAGAAGATCTTTCTCTCTCTGTCTCTCCTCCTCTCTGTATAACTGACTATCCATTAAAAATAAATAAGTCTTAAAAGAAATTTAAGATCCATGCATCCTTTTTTTTTTAAATAAGCATTTTCCTTTAATTTCTTGAGGACCTCATACAAAGCTAATAAAGCACCCAACACAGCATTTAAAGTGAAGGTTACTGATGTGTGAAAGAGAACAAATTCAGCAAAATAGGAGCTGGGTTACAAACTTCAATGCCTCACGTTAGAACCGACTGTACCTACTTTGCCCATCTCCTTTACTTTGACCTTTTCAAAAACTGAGCAGCATTAGCAGGCTATATTTCTATGTACAAGTGACTTCTTTCTGATCTTGTCAGGATAAAGTAAAATTTGAGATCAGCTTATAAAAGTCTGTGAATGTTTTATAAACAGCAAGGGAGATGGAAAACCTACTAGCCTGAATACAGCCTAAGAAATCAAATTGCAGAAAGAGACAGTTATAAAGACTGCTGCTTTGGAAATATCCTGAGAGAAAATGTGGTGGAACATCAATGTGAAAAAGTGGGTAATGGGAAATGTGAGGGATTTCACTGCAAATAATATCGATTTAATTTTATGTGCTGTGAATAGAACCAATAGAAAAACATGACTACTAGGACCAATGTGGTGGTATAGGAAGTTAAACTACTGACTACAACACCATCAAACCACAGAGAGTGCTGGTTTAAGTCCTGGCTGCTCTGCTTTCAATCTAGCTCCCTGCTAATGAGCATAGGAAAGCAGCAGAGGATGGCCCAACTGCTTGCTGCCTGAGCCCAGACACTCATGTAGGGGATCCAGAATAAGCTCTTGGCTCCTCATTTTAGCCTGGTCTAGCCCTGACCACTGCAGTCACTGGAGAGTAGATCAGCAAATAGAGGACCTCTCTGTTACTTCCTCTCTGTCTCTGTAAGTTGGCCTTTGAAATAAATGAAAATGAATCATAAAAATTAAAAAATACATGGGGCCATTGTGTAGTAGGCTGATTCTGCTTACGATGCCAGCATTCCATATGGGTGCTGGTTCGAATCCTGGCTGCTCTACTGCAGATTTACCTCCCTGATTATGTCCTGGGAAAGCAGTGGAGGCTGGCACAAGTTCTTGGGCCCCTCCATGTGATGCATGGAAGAAGCTCCTGGCTCCTGGTTTTGTAGTGGCTGAGCTCTAGCCATTGTGGCCATCTGGACAGTGAGCCAGCAAAAGGACACTCTTTCTGTCTCTCCTTTTCTCTGTTAACTTCTCTTTTCAAATAAAAATAAAATAGATCTTTTAAAAAATACACATGACTACCAAAAAAAGTATCTCAAAGAATAAATACAAATCTCTTTCAGCACCAGGCCAATTTGCAACTAAATAAAAACAATCATATTTATTACTGTTGAATATATATTTAGATTTAGTTTTAATTTATTTAGCTGAGAGGCAATAAGACACAGAAACACATTCCATCTGCTGGTTCGCTCCCCGCATGCTTCCTCTGCAGCAGTTTGGAGGTGGGCTGGGATCTAAGTTGGGATCTGGGAGACAAAAAGGCAATCTGCATTTCCCGTATCAGTGGCAGGAACTCAAGTACTCGGATCATCACCACACCCTCCTGGAGCCTTAATTGGCAGAAAGATGGAGTCATAAGGCGAAGCCAGGATTCAAACCCAGGTATTCAAAAAGTGATGCAGGCACATTAAGTACTAGGTCAAAAGTATGCTTCCTTAATACATATTTGGAAATACAGTAGCAGTTTTATGCAGCTGGTATACATTTAATTTCAGCTAACTGTATTTTAAGAATTTTAATAGGGAGTTAGCAGGGAGCCAGCAATATGATTTAGCAGATGAAGTGGCCACTTGCAACTCGGGCCTGCCATGTGCTTTTCTCCCCTATCCACTTCTCATCCAGCTCCCTGCAACTGGCCTGGGAAAAGCCATGGAAGACAGTCAAACATTTGTGTCCCTGCCACCCACAAGGGAGACCCAAGTGAAGTTCTGGCTTTTGGCTTCAATCATGCCCAGCAGTGGCCATCACAGGAAGCGATCCAGTGGATACAAGGTTCAAATTTTCTCTTGTTCAATCTTCCTGCCCTTCTTCCCTTCCTCTCTGTAATTCTTCCAAAATAAGCAAATCTTCAAAAAACATTTCAATAGCCAACATAGGAACATTTGCTTATAAAAGCAGAGTAATAGGAAAGTTAAGAATTTGAAAACAGATGAATATTCAACACCTCAGTATTCTCTGATACCCTGCTACATGAGCAAAGACCAAAGGAATAAGAAAGCATTCACTCCAGAAATAGAAAATATCTCAAATTACAAACTCTAAGTCATTTAGCAAGGTCAAGCTTACATCTCATTTCCTTAAATAAGTCTTCTTTAGGGACTGGCATGATGAAGCAGTGAGCTAAGCAATTGCCTGTAATACCAGAATCACTGAATCCCAGCTGCTCTGCTTTTGATCCAGTGCCCACTTTTAACAGATAGTGGAAGATAACCCAAACATCTGGGCCCCTAGCAACTTTGTAGGAGACCAGGCTGGGGTTTCTGGCTCCTGATCATGGTATGGCCCAGACCCAGTCACTGCAGCCATTTGGAGAGTGAACCAGAAGATTCTCTGTCAGTCTGCCTTTCATATTCATAAATTTTTGGAAGAAATATGTCTTCTTCAACCATCACAAAGAAGTAACAATTAATCACCTTGCTTATACAGTTTCTTGGAATACACGTTAGTTTCAAATTCTATTTTATAATACTCCAAGTGCTATATTTTTTCTTGCTTCCTTTAGTGTTTCCATATGTGTAGCAGAGCATTAATGCCATTCTTGTATAGTTAGTATTTAATGCAAAATGCAAATGAAAGAAACTACAATACAAGCGGCAATCTGCTCATAATATTTAAGTAATAGTCAAGTAAGACAAACAACAGAATCTTACCCCATTAAGGCTGCCCAAATCTTTCACCAAATGTTCATCTGTAGAGGCATCATAATTGATTACAGCATGTTGCTTATCCACACTACGAGACTGAAAGGAATTTTTAAAGTTAATAAATAGAAGAAAACAGAAAAACAACACAAAATATTTTTCCTAAGCAACTAATATTAACAGGACAGAAGATAAACATAAGAAAATCACACATCAAAAGTAGATTAAGAGAACATAAACTAGGTTGCCATCGAACAGAAATTTGCTATCAATACCCAAAAGAAACCAACCAACAAGATAACCTCTTCCAGTAAACTCATATGTACCACTTTTAACAGAATTTAAATGTACTGACTTTCTTGAGTCTACCAAATTTTAAAGTGTCATGGCCTAAGGAACTTGGCCTCTGACAACCAAGTCAGAGACCTTGAAGCTATGGGGCCCGGCACACCCTCAGTCATTGTGGCCATCTGGGAAGTAAACCTGCAGATAGAAGATCTCTCTAGCACTCCTTCTCTCTATTTGGTAATTTTGTCTTTCAAATAAACCATAACAAAATCCCCTCTACCCCCAAATCATTTCTTTGAAAGGCAGAGCAACATAGAAACATATAGGGAGAAACATAAAACTCATTGTCTCCCAATGTTTGCAACAGCCAGGTCTGGGATAACCTCCAGCTGTGAGCCAGAAAGTCCAACCAAATATCCCGAATGGGTGTTAGCGGCCTGAGCCCTTGGGCCATCTTCTGCTGCCATCCCAGCTGCATAAGCAGGAAACTGGACTATACACACAATAGCCAGGACTGGAAGTGGCACTCCCATATGGGATGTCAATATCACAAGCACCAAAGCACAAGCCCCCAAATAATGCTATATATTTTAAAGTTTTACTCATTTATCTACTTACTTATTTGAAAGGCAGGGATACAGAGAGAGGAGAGACAGAGGGAAAGACATTCCAGTCATTGGTTCGCTCCCCAAATAGCTGCAATGGCCAGAGTGTGCCAGGCAGTAGCCTGGCATCTAGAGCTGCTTCTGGGTCTCCCACGTGGGCACATGGTCCCATTCACTTATGCCATCTTCCACCGCTTTCTCATGGTGTAGTAACAGGAAGCTGAATTTGAAATGTGGCAGCCAAGACTACAGGTGATGGCTGAACCTGCACACCATAGTGCCAGTGCTATCATATATTAAATATTTTTAAATGCAATTCTAAATACAGAAATCATATGAATTATAATTATAATATTTTATGTTCCAGCAAAATTCTGTAGGATTTGTTTCCTTTAATATTGAAAACTATAGCATAAATCACATGAGGTGTCCAAGGATCTAGAGAAAAGGGAGCATAGCGTGAGATGTTTCTGCATAAAATTATCCTCATTTAGAACATGTGTTCTGAAATAGGATGGAAGCTTGTTTCAAGACCTCTTTCATGTGCATAACTGTCAAATCTCTACCTTTGCCTTTCTTGGCTTTGACTCAGTATCATACATTTATTTCCAGCTTTTCTGTTGGATAATTCACCTTGAATGTTGGGAATCCCAAACTTATTACTTCACTCTCAAATTTTAATAAATTTCATTTCATAAAACTTTCTGAATATTTTTCACTAGTTCTACATTAAAAACTATGGGTCTTGGATTTTTTTCCCTTCTTTACCCATTTTATATAGAAAGAAAATACATCTTGCTTCATTTCTCTCCTACTTCTAATTTCATTTCAAATAATGCTCTCTTCTTTAAAACTCTATCATCTTTTTGCATTATCATAATCTTCTAACTGCTTTTACCAATTCCAGTCTCCATTTTGTAGCCAGTAACATAAAATAGTTTTAAAAAAAAAAACATGGCAGGGTGTGGCACAGTGGCTTAGAAGGCTCGGGAGAACTAGAGGATGATACATGGGATGTTTAAAAAAGAAAGAATGATTATTCATGAGAGAAGGTTAGAATTCCAGGGAGGGGCTAGCACAGTGCCTGGCAGTCTAATCTCCCACTTGTGGTTCCAGCATCCCAATGAGTGCTGGTTCGAGTCTGGCTGCTCTATTCAGCTCTAGCTCCCTGCTTACGGCCTTGGAAAGCAGCAGAAGATGGCTTAAGTTTTTGGGCCCAGGCACTCACATGGGAAACCTGGAAGAAGCTCCTGGCTTCTGTTTTCAAATTGGGTCAGCTCTGGCCATTGCAGACATTTACAGAGACAACTAATGGATGGAAGATCTTCTCTCTACAACAGCTCTTCCAAGTAAAACAAATAAATCTTTAAAAACAAAACACAACACCACACAGGGGCCAGTGTTGTTGCAGGGGGTTACACAGCCAATTGCAATGTGACCACATCAGCATATCAGAGTGCAGGTTCAAGTCCCAGCTTTCCGCTAATGCTCGTGGTAAGGAAGTAGATCACGGCCCAAGTACTTGGGGCCTGCCACCCCTGTGGGAGACCTGGGTGGAGTTCCAGCTTCCTGGATTCAACCTGGCCCAGCCATGGTCAGTGTGGACACTTGGAGAGTGAAACAGCAAATGGAAGATTTCTCTATCCCTCTGTCACTCTACCTTTCAAACAATAAATTATTTTTCAAAAAATTAAAATGCTGAAGTCAGTTATTAATCTCTAACCACTGATAACAACAGAGATACTTATCTCACAGACCTTTGTAGAGGATTCAGTGACACAGTATGGGAAGCATGTGGCAGGGCAATTATCTCCCTGCCTAAAAACTTGAGTTCTTCTACTAGCTTACCACCCATGTGGTAGACCAGGATACAGGTTCAGGTTCACGCCCTTCCCTAGCCACTGAGGACATCAGAGGAGTGAACGAGCAGATAGAAGATTCAATCACTTCTTTTTTTCTTTACATTCTTCTCTTATTTCTTCATTCTCTTTTGCTCCCTCTCCCTATTTCCTTGTCTTGCTTTTCTCTCACTCTCCTCCTTCCCTCTGAAACTCCACATTTTAATAAACAGATATTTTTTAAGAATTACAAGGGACTGTTTTAGTTACTTAAGCAAACAATGAATGCTACACTACTTTCAACAATACAACCTCAACCACATTCTATTCTTTAGAAACTCATATTTCAAGATTATTCAACTTGGAGCCAACACTGTGACACAAGTAAGTTGAGCTGCTACCTACAATGTTGGCACCAATTCTAGTCCTGGCTAAACCAAATTCTAACCCAGTCCACTGCTGTTTTGTCTGAAACACAGAAGCTGGCTCAAGTACTGGAGCCCTGGCCTCCCATGTGGAGATTCTGCTGGGGTTCCATGCTCTCTGCTTGCGTCTGGTCTAACCCCAGCCCTTGTGACCATCTTCCTGCAGACAGCAATGATCAGTTTCTCTAAGCCTTCAAAGTTTAGGGCTCTGTAGATTTGTTGTTACACACACATACATATTCAGAGATCTGTATATATGCTGTTCCCCAGCACCTACCATAGCCTTAGGAGATGATCAATAAAGATTTAATCAATAAATAAAAATAACATAGGTACTTAGCAAATCTTTTATTTTTCATGAAGAACAGAGGTGGGTAAGTTTCCTAAATTAATAAAACAGCAGATGTAATGAAACTACAAAGCTCAGAATGAATTTTAACAAACCAATCAACAAACTGGCTTACAACAGGACATAAAGAAAAAAAAAATCTGGCTCTGAGACAAGGTAACTGAGAAAACTTCAAAATAATTTTATCATCAATTAAAACTACCAAAAGAACAGGCTGCCAACCTAATTGTGGACTGTTTTTCAGAGATTAGAATGGGTCTACAGCAGTACTAAAACAGTGTTAGGGTAGGCATTTAGCCTAGCAGTAAAGCCTCTGGCTAGAGTTCAAGCCCAGATTTCCACCCCTGATTTCAGCTTCCTGCTAATTCACTTCCTGGGAAGAAGCACGTGGTGGCTCGATTGGTAAAGTCTGGGCCGCCCTGTGGGAGACCTGGGCTTAGTTTCTAACTTTCATCTTTTTCTTGGCCTATCAACCAAGCCATCACAGTCATTTTGCTAGTGAACCAAGAAATGGGAGTTCTCTGTATGTTCTTTGTCTCTTATTGCTTGCTTCATTTCCTAGCTTGAGCATCTAATTCTAGGTCCCTGTCTTGCAGATCCTGGAATGCAGTATTCATGACCAAATAGCTGAGCTCTAAAGAGATGTGGATTGAGTTTCCAGATCACTAGGTTTGGCCCCTAGATGTTGTGGGTGAGTAGAGAATGAATCCTCACTTGGATGTGCTGGTTTTTGAAATAAATAAGTAAGTAAATAAGTACGTAAATAAGTAAATACATAAATATTTTTAGAAAGCAGTGTGTTAGTATTAAAAAATAAAAGCATCACTGGAGTGGAGCCCAAAGTATAGGTCAGCATTAACTGAAATTTTCTAGAAATATAAGTCTGAACTGGTGATTATTAACAAACATTTTTAGGTGTACAATATAGTGGCATACTTCTACCACCAAACAGAAACTTATAATTATTAAATAATCAAACCTTTTCTCTACTTTCCCCGATCTAGTAACCATTAATCTACTGTCTGAACTAATTTGTATATGCTAGATATTTCATTTAAGTGGAACTATGCAGCATTGATACTTTGGGTTTGGCTTATTTATCTTATGATAATGTTCTCAATATTCTTTTATGTTATATGAAGTATCGCAATTTCATTCTTTTTAATGGCTTAATGATAGTTCATTACAAGTATATATTTTATCAATTCTTCTATTGATAATTAGCTCTCATATTTAAATCAAGGATCCACCTGAAGTTAATTTTTGCATACAGAAATTCAGCTGTCCCATGATCATATTTTGAAAAGACTTCTTTCCTCTAGTGAATGAGCTTAGCACTAGTTTCAGAAGTCATATGGCATAGTTTCCTAAGGCTGGTAACAAAAAGATACAAACTGAGCAGCTTAAAACAACAAAAGTTTACTCCTCCACAATTTTCGAGGTGGAAATAAAATATCCAGCTGTTGGCAGGCACATACTTACACTCACTCTAGAATCTATTTGTGTTGGTCGGGGGAGGGTGGTGGGGTGTAGTGGGAGATTCTTCCTTGCCTATTTCAGGGTATGAGAGCCCCAGATAGCTCCAAGACTTACACTGGGATAACTAATTTCTACCTCTGGTTTTACTTGGCCAACTTTCCTGTTATTATAAACAAATCATATTGGATTAGGGTCCTTCCTAATAACTTCATCATTATTTGATCCTATCCCAGAAGATCCATTTCTAAATAAGTGCATATTCACAGATGTGGGAGAACAGGACTTTAAGAAGTTTCTTGGAGGGGTAGAATTCAATCCATATAAGGAATAGATGCCTGGGTTTGTTCATGGTGTCTCAATTCTATTTCGTCACTCTAAATATCACCCTTAAGCTAATATCAATAGCATTTTTATAAGTTACAAATTTGCAAAGTGAAAGTTCTCCAACTCTACTGTCCTCCTTCAAGATTTTCATAAAAATCACTTTGTCATTTTTATATTGTATTAAACCCAGCCAAACTCTCTTCTTAATCTCTAATCCTCACATTCTTATCATTCTTGTTCAGGTAGAAATGCTTAAACTCCATAAAAACAAAAAACAATCTCTTTAAGTCTTCTTTAAAGGTTGCACTTATGGGGATGGTTTTGTTGCACAATGGGTTAAGCTGACATCAGCAAACACTGGCATCTATTTAAGAAGATGTTCTAAGTATCCGGTTGCTGCTACCCATGTGGGAGGTATGGATAGTATCTCTCTCTCTCTCTCTCCCTCCCTCTCTCTCTCTCTCTCATTCTCTCTGTGTGTGTCCCTTTCTCTGCAACTGCCTTCCAAATAAATAATTAAATCTTTAACAAAGTTATATTTCCTTGCTTTTTCACAAGTCTTGATTAGATACCAAAACGGTGAATCTTACATCTCAAAAATGGATGCATTTTGTGAGATGATGGATGCATTAAGTTGCTTCATATCTTATCTATCCCACAACATATTGTAAACCGTAAATATACTCAATAGAGTTTATTTTTAAAAAGACCTTCAATCCTTACCCATGTTCAATTTTTGGTAGGCATCACAGTGAGTATCTCCAAAGGAAGCAGTGAAGTATCCATGATTACCCTAACTTTGTCAATCATTTACAAGTCTCATTTTAAAGTGTAAAATGTGAAACTTCAAACTTGAGAATATACTTATCCATTCTGAGTCTTGTTCTTATAAAGCATTATAATCTCAAAGAACTAGAATTGGTTTTTTAGAATGATTCAAGTGGGAAAAAATAAAGTGATCAATAAAGCTAGAACAGGGACAGTCAGAGAATTCCAATCTAAACAATGCTGCTTTCCTTAGGAGTTGAGAAATGGCTTATACTAATTTCACGTCTGAGCAGATCCATAAAAAGGAAGGCTGACAGAATTACCTGTAACATGAGCTCACAGTCATCTCTTCCAACAAAAATCATCTCCCGGGGCAGTCTGTGGCGAGTGCCTCCACTGCTCACCAAAAACCAGGATGTTAAGCTCATTTTCTGCTTAGCTTTTAAGTCTCTGGCAAAGCTACGTCATCCTGCAGGGAAATAAAATTAAAAATATACATTTAGATATTTTTAGCTAGTATCTAGTTGCCAAACCCTGTAAGAAGGCTTAAGCACAGAACTGCATTCATTGACAATTATATCTGACTAAATGAGCTACTCAAGTCCCAGGAAATGACATACATATCAAATTCTCATTGGCAAAGTAAGGCCACCAACATAAGAGCCCAATTATAAAGAAGGCTGAGGTAATTGAGTACATAATCCATTAGGAAACTTCTATCATTTGCAGAAAGGCTTTTATATGCCTTTTAATGGTCTATAGTAAAAAATTAAATATTTACATTATCATACTAACATCAGAAAATAACACACTATTACACAAATATTTTATTTATACATGGTTTGAATAAGACCTGAATTCAAAATTAAGTCTATCTGATACCTCAGGAAACCTAATTATGAAAAACTAAAGAAATTGCTTCTTCATTTACAAAGTATAAACCCAATTCAGTTTCACATTCCTAAAATGTACATTCTTTTTAAAAAAGTACATTCTTAATATATGTTCCTAGAGCATGAATTTCTAAATATTTTCTTCTTGGGATCTTTAAAACATTTGGTTACATGGGTTATATCTGTTTATTAATATTTACAATAGAATTGAAAACTAAGAAGCTAATACTCATTTAATTAAAATAACAAAATTAATCAATTTTCTATGAAAATTATTTTCCAAAAGTAAACAGCAAGAACTATTTTACATTCAATAAATATCTTTAATGTCTAACTTGATAGAAGAGCCACATATCAGATATTCATTCAATTCACTGCCATACAATATTTAACTTGAAATATATAAATAGAACATGGTCTCACAGAGATAAATAATCTGAAAAAGAGATGTATTTGAATACTTTTCAAGTAACTGTAGATCATTTTCTATCACATTAATCAAGATTTCCAAGAAGTAGCAGATTTTGGAAGGTGATTTGAAAAATGGAGTTTGAATCCTTGTCAATGAATCTTTCATAATACATCACGTGAAAACTCATTTTGTATATTGACGGAATTTTGTAGCAGCTTGCATTGTCGCTTTGAAAATACTGGTTTTCTTAGATATGTGGACCTTTCAAATTTGATGTGTTTTATTAAACTACATTAAAACATCACATTCATTAACAGTAGCATTATTTCATCATAAAAGTCTTCAAATATTGGATAGCTGCTAGGCTCATGTTAACAGAATCAAGTTTTCTAAAAAACGAATTTCCTATTGACAGCTGAGAATTTATTACTGATTTTTAAAAATCCCTGCCATTTCAGGTTCTTTGAAGTGACAAGAATCACTGCCAAATGCACAAGTGTACATAGCTACAAACTGTCATCATTTGAAGCAAAACTTTGGCTTTATGAAACCAAGTCCCTAGTACAGCTTTCAAGTCACACAACGCACAGATGATGTTTCCTAACTTTGGTATACAGCGTAAGTGTCCTTGCTTACTTCTACTTACTCATATGGAATATTTAAAAGATGTGACTCAAGGGCCCAGTGTGGTAGCCTAGTAGCTGAAGTCACTGCCTTGCATGTACCAGGATTCCATATGGGCACTGGTTCATATTGGGACCCTGCACCTGCGTGGGAGATTCAGAAGTAGCTCCTTTGGATCAACTCAGCTCCGGCCGTTGTGACCACTTGGGGAGTGAACAGCGCATGGAAGATCTTTCTGTCTCTCCTTCTCTCTGTAGATCTGACTTTCCAAAATATTAAAACAAATAAAATCTTAAAAAAAAAAGATGTGATTCAAAGGGCCAAATTTTAACAAAATGAGTAACTTTTACAGCTTCATTGAGGACACTCTTAAGTAAAATAAGCTTTAAAAAAAATTGCAAATGTACAGCAATAGTAAGTACAATCACTCCTGGCACAGTTGGGTACCACTGCCTTAATCCTGTTAAGCCAGAAACTTTACTGCATCTTTTTTGTACATCAGTGCAGATGTGAATACAACAAAAAACTTGCCTTGCCACCCATGTAAATTTCAAACTGTGGCCCCCAGAGGCCTTAGGCTTTGAGAGCACTGTCCCAGCAGATGCAATTCACCAGCAGGAACATAAGCCTTACAAAGTGACAGACAAAGTTTTAATCCTGGTTCTACTACCCTTCAATGTGCACAACTTTGTGTAAGCTATTTATCTTATGTTTCCTCTTCCATAAAGTAAGAATGACATCATTTACTCGTCTTTTTCTTTTCATTTTTTAATTGGAAAATCAGGTGTGCAGAGAGGAAGAGAGACAGAGAGGAAGATATTCCATTCTCTGATTCACTCCCCAAGTGGTTGTAATGGCTGGCACTTGTGCCAATTTGAAGCCAGAATCCCAGAGCCTTTTCTGGGTCTCCCACATGGATGCAGCATCCCAAGGCTTTGGGCTGCCCTTCACTGCTTTCCTAGGCTGCAAGCAGGGAACTGGATGGCAAACAGCACTGCTGGGATTAGAACTGGCACCCATATGGAATCCTGGTTTGTGCAAGGTGAGGACTTTAGCTGCTAGGCTACTGCACTGGGCCCTACTCATCTTTTACTTATGTCTCAAAACAAAAATAGTTATAAGCATTTCTTCTATGAAATGGTATATTCTGGCAACTTGAAATAGAAGTAAAGTATAACAGCCACGTGAAATTTTATACAATTAGAAATATGCCTGTATATTCAAGCAAAGTCGTGTAAAACATAAAACTCTAAATTTACGTAGAAATTCTATCTACTAAAAATTATCAACACATACAGGAAATCGATCTCTCCAAAAAACAAAAAAGTGAATAATTCTCTGTAAAACTAAGACAAGACTTACTCGCATCTCAGCTTAACTAAGTTTCAGTGAATTTATAAACATCATTGAAGTATCCTATTTATGTAATTCCCTAATGCAGATGTTGTCACTATTTTTCCAGCTGTTAAACCGTTTTCAGCATTTATTTGCATGGCTTAGAATATATACTTCCTGACCAAAGAGTAGAAAATCAAAATTTTCACATGTGAGAAAACCCTAATAGGGCATATGATTTTTCTACCACATTTTCAAAGGACAATTTTAAAACCTCAAATAAATAGAGGTGAACATTATACATTACTTGAGAGAATAAGAAAATATATGAAAAGGAAATTAATGTAGCCTAAATACTACAAACTAAAGCACTAGAAAAAAAAGAGACAAAACAGAAATGTTTCTTCAAAGCAAAATATGGGGCTCATTGCAACAGCCTAGTGGCTAAAGTCCTCATCTTGTACACACTTGGGATCCCACATGGGCACTGGTTCGAATCCCGGTAGCCCTGCTTCCCATCCAACTCCATGCCTGTGGCCTGTCGAGGACGGCTCAAAGCCTTGAGACCCTGCACCCACGTGGAAGACCCAGAAGAAGCTCCTGGCTCCTGGCTTCGGATTGGCATAGCGGCCATTGCAGTCACTTGGGGAGTGAATCAACTGACAGAGGATCTTTCTGCAAATCTGACTTATTAATAAAAATTGAAAAAACTTTAACTATAATGATTTTATGATACCTTCTGCTGAAAAATTCTTTAACAAAATACCAGAAAACCATATTTAGCAGCATGTTGAAACGAATGATCACCATGACCAAGTGCAACTAATTCTAGGAATGTGACAATGAAGACTTCACAGCCTCTAGAATTCTGAGAAATAATTTTGTTCTTTATAATTACCCAAGTCATGGTGTTTTGTCATAGCTACATACATGAACAGATTAAGACAAATACCAAAACTTCCCAATGAAACCTAAACACTTTACACAATCCCTATCAAAATCTCAATGGCATTATTTACACACAGAAAAATCAGTCTGGGGCTGAAGTGGTTGATAGAGCCCTATGCATCCCATAAGGTTTGCTGGTTCCTGTCCCAGCTGCTCTAATTCCAATCCAGCACACTGCTAATAGCCTAGCAACAGCAGTAATGGAAAGCCCAAGTGTTTGGGCACCTGCCACCCATGTTGGAAACAAGGATTAAGTTTCTGGCTCCAGGCTTTTCCCTGGTCCAATGTTGCTCACTGTAGCCATCTGGAGTCCGAGACATGACATGGAAGATTTCTCTCTCTATAACTCCAACTTTCAAAATAAATAGCCAAAACAACCTCAAAAACAAAAAAAAGTACTTGTGTTTCTTGAAAACTTCCACTAAACTACAATAGTCAAAATAGTGTGGCACTCTTGTAAGGACAGCTATAATCAACCACACAGCTAAGGCAAAACTGAAAACTCTGTCTTTTCCTCTATGGCCAACCCTCACTGTCTTTAACACTGCAATAACGGAATCTGAAATACAGAATGTATATAATACAAAATTGAATCAGTCTCTATCTTCTGTGCTTATTAATTTCAAGGTTTTTTAAGATTTACTTTTGCCTTGGAAAGAATTACAGAGAGACAGGGAGAAACAAAGAGATGTTACACCTGTGGTTTTATTCCCCAAAATGCTGCAAAGGTCAGAGCTGGGCTGATCTGAAGCTGGAAGTCAGGAGTTCCTTTTGGGTGTCCCACACGGGTGCAGGCACCCAAGTCCTTGGGTCATGCTCTGCTACTTTCCCAGGCTGTAAGCAGGAAGCTGAATAGGAAGTGGAGCAACCAGAACATGAACTAGAACCTGTGGGGGTACTAGCACCACAGATGGAAAACTAGCCTGTGCCAGTTTCAGTTTCAAGAAACCTTAGACCCCAGCTGTAGGCAACTGCCTAGGTTGCCTGGTACACAGGAAAGTGTTACACTGCTGGGAGAGAAGCAGTCAGTAGCTGGTGAGCATCCTGGGCCTGGTTACTTTCAAACTTGTGTGAACTATACCAGTATGCCAGTATAGTTGGCTCTTTCTTTCCTTTTCTTCTTCCTCTTCCTCTTCCTCTTCCTCTTTCTCTTCTCTTCTCTTCTCTTCTCTTCTCTTCTCTTCTCTTCTCTTCTCTTCTCTTCTCCTCTCTCTCTCTCTCTCTCTCTCTCTCTCTCTCTCTCTCTCTCCTTTTTCT